CTTCTCTTCCAGGGAGTGGCTTGAGGGGCCCCAACTCCTGGTGCCACCTCCTCTCCCTGCCCTCACCTCTGCAAGCGAGAGTCTTCAGTCCCCCAATCTGAGATCCTAGGGTAGAGCCCAAAGCCCACAGAATTAGGACAAGAGGCCTCAGCAGCTGTTTGAATGAATGAACTAATGAATGAGAGAGAAAGGGAGAATTAAGTGAACAGCCATCTTAACTTTTTTTCAAGAGTCTCTGGTTAATCCCTGCAGCCCCCATTCAGTCCTCACACAGCTCTGTGAGGACCTATGGATCCTTCCCCCGCTTTACAGAGGAGTCAGCTGAGGCTCAGAGAGGCCACAGAGCAAAACCCCAGGGCTGGTTACTACTGTGGGGCCATTCACAGGGTGCCACCCCAGCTTGTTTGTCCCCCATCTCCCCATAGGTGTCACCTTCCTCTGCTCACAGCAGGAAACCAGGATGCAGAGCAGTGTGGCTCTGCCTGGCCAGGCCGCCCTGCCCTCGAGCCATCCTGGTGAAGCCTTCCCGCTCCTGCTGCCCCGGCCTGCTGGGTACCGAACTTGTGGGCCCCAGTGTGAAGTGAAAATGCCCCTTGTGCAAAAAGGTAGGAGGAAAGCTCTTTCCTTTCCTCCGAGGTCTCTCTCCGTCTGTCAGGATGGTTTTCATTTGGCATTTCACCCGTGGTATGGGTGTAGACCTTCCTCGAGCCTGGCTCCAGTCAGGTTGGACGCTGTGAGGCAGGACCTGGCCTGAGCCCAGCACCTGCTGCTGTGCCGTGAGAACCCACAAAACGTGGCTCAGAGAGAAAATTGCCAGGAGTTTCAGAGCAGCGGCCACAGAGCGTTGACCCTGGGATGGGCCTCCCTCAGACTGGCCACCTGGCCTTGGCCGAAGCCGGCCTGCCCCCATCCTTGCCATCCAAATGCATGCCCTCCCAGTGCAGCCTTGGGCTCACCTCACTGGCGCCCACCTCTGGGCCTCACCCGTCTGATTTTCCTCAGCCCCAGAAGCCTTCCCCACACCTTGGCACCCCTGTTCTTTTTATTTTTTATTTATTTTTTTTATTTTTATTTTTTTGAGTCAACGTTAGTGAGAAGCCACCCCTGTTCTTTTACGCCAGAGTCAGCAAACTGTTCCTGTAATAGGCCAGATAGTAAATATTTCAGGCTTTACCAACCAAGAGGCAGAGTCAAGGCTGTGATTCGTGTAGGTGTTTTCATGTAGATTAAATACCGCACATCATTTGACATGTGACCATCTAAACTTGTAAAAGCCATCCTTGGCTGGAGGGCAGTTTATGGCCGGAGGGTGGGCATAGCTTGTCGACCCTCTGCAAATTCTACAGGGACACCTTTTCCAACCCTCCCAGCTCAGGGTCAGCCCCTCCACCCACTTACACCATCTGACTTTCTTCCTGGCTGTCACCCCTGCAGGAGCCGCTTTTGTGCCGTGCATCTGGCCCTCAGGCTGGCCTTTCCACACCTTGGGGAGGAGGGGCGGGAGGACAGGCCTCCCTGCAGGAAGCTGAGATGGAGGCCTGGGAAGCTCTGGGCTGGGAAGTCCCTACCTTAATTTTGTTACACACATTATCATCTCGGTGGAAACACTTATCACTGCTTGGCAAACAAGTTTCTGCAAAGAAAAAGGCAGTGAGGAGCACCTCTCTCCTCCCCATCTCTCCCTGGAGGTCTTCCTTTTTTTTTTTTTTTTTTTTTTTTTTTTAATATTGTGAAATTAAACTAATCAATAATTTTATTCAATGTTTGCATACATTTTTTTCTCCAAGGCAAAATATAGATGCAATAAAATGTACAAATTTCTTTTTCTTTCTTCCTTTTTTTTTTTTTTTGTATGCATTTTTAATATTCACGGTGTTGTAATCAGAAGGTCTGTAAATTTTTTTTAAGTTTGTTTACTTTCTAATAGACATATAATTCACATAGCTTAAAATTTGCTTTTTAAAAGTATACAATTTGATGGTTTTTAATATACTTACAGAGTTGAGTTGTGTAACCATCACCACTATTTAATTCCAGAACATTTTTATCACCTCCCAGAAAGAAAGCTCGTGCCTCTTGGCAGTCACTCCCCATCCCGACCTGCAGGGACCCATGATCTGCTTTCTGTGGGAATGGATTTCCCAGTTAGGTATTTCGTATACATGGAATCTGGCAGTTGTGGCCCTTTGTGTCTCTTTTTATGCTTAGCATTTGGATTGTTTCTACTTTTTGGACATTTTGAATAATGCCACTGTGAACATTCGTGTATGCATTTTGGTGTGGACTTGTTTCCATTTCTCCTGGGCGTGTAACTGGGAGTGGAATTGCTGGGTTACCTGGTGACTATGTTGACTCATTTTGAGGAGCTGCCAGACTACTTTCCAAAGAGGCTACACTGTTGCACATTGCCATCAGCAGCGTCTGAATGTTCTGAGGCGTTTGTGATATTTATGGTGGGTAATCTGAAGGCCCCAACAGTTTCGTATACTCTGTAGGGGAGGTGGAACTTTTCCTCTTCCCTCTTAGAGTCTCCAACAGAGTCTGAGAATTAAGTCGACATAAAACAGATTAAGGAAGGAAAAGCAAACACATTTTTTTTTTTTTTACATGAACATGGGAGACCTCACAGGAAACAAAGACCCTGAGGCAGTCAGGCCTAAGTGCTTCCATGCGAGGTTGAGCAAAGGGTTGTAATTGTGAAAAAATTACTAAAACATACGGGGAGGCCGAGGAAAATAAGGTTGGTTTATACAGATGTCTCTGGTGATAAGAATGTCCTCCTGGTACAGGCAGGCATTTTCCATGTGGGTGCTTAGCTCTGCTCTCAGGAGGAAAAGGGGAGGTCCGAGCACACCCCTGCCTCTGCTGTCTTCCAGGTGCCTTCCACCGAGAGCACCTCATGCCGCGTGTGCCCTGGGGGCGAGTTCGCTGCCAAGAAACCCCTTTCACCTTTTCCCCTTATTGTAGAAATAATTGTTTGCCATTTTAGAAGTTAGCAACATGAAGGTAAAAAGAAGAAAGTTGAAATCACTCCTCACGCCCCGAGTGGGAGGCGTGGCCAGTCCCCACCCTGTGACCGCATGAGGAGCGGGTGTGGGGCAGGTGCCTCCTCGTGCCCTTGCACTCACTCCTGTGATCGGCTTTTGGGCTCTTTCTAGTTTTCCCCTGTTCTAAACCTGACTGACGAATGTTGTTTTTCTGCACAAAACATTTCCTGAGATTGGGTTTTCCCTCAATGGCTCTGCTTTGGCTCTGCTTCCGGGGAGGCAGAGCCACACCAGTCGGGGCCGAGAGCGTGTGTGTGCGTGCGTGGCCGATCCTGCACGTTTAGCCTGAACTGTTCGATCTAACCCCTGGCGATTAGGGGGCTTGCTGGGGCCTGTCAGGGGAAATATGTCCTGAGAGGGTTGTGGGAGGGGCCAAGTGTCAGAATTCGTCACATGGTTTTGCCCAGATCCGTTCAGTCCTGTGTTCCCCTGCCCGCCTGCCCGTTCTCCAGGAGCACCTGCCTGTGGGTGCTGGGGACGGCCAGGGGACGGGGAGGATGGAGCAGCTGGCCAAGACATGGCGGAGTGGCGGCTAGGAAGAGGAAGGAGGCCAGGCACGGGGTGGACAGGATAGGGGGCTCTGAGGAGGTGACCCTTGCCTCAGCCCTGGAGTCCAGTGGGGGCAGCCGGGAGGATCCGAGGAGGAGAGCTCCAGGCAGGGGCGGGCCCCCAGCATGGTTGCCTTCAGTGCTTGCCCCTTGCCAGCTGCCTGGGTTTCCTGGGAGTCACTGTAGCCCTGTGCCGGGCACCTATGTGCAGAGTAAGTTCTGGCTGCTGTTCAGGTGCTGCAGGGGACCCTCAGAGCCAGCCCCGCCTGCTCTGTGAGCTTGGTGTACCCCGCTACTGGCAGATCCTCTCCATGAGGCAGGGGCTCTAGTGTTGGGAGCAGCTCTTGGCTCTCAGGGAGAGCCCTGTGCCTGTGGGGGATCAGGTGACGGGGTGGGGCACGGAGAAAAGTGCCCACCAGCCCTGCCCCTGCATCCTCGTGGGCAGTGTGGGAGTCCTCTCACTCCCTTAGGCTGTCAAAAGGATCGAGTCAGACAGTAGGTTTGAAGGTGCATTTTATGAGCCGGATCTGCAGAGGCAAATCCCGTAATTAGCCGGGCCAGATGCTGTGGCTCCCATTTCACAGAGGGAGAAGCTGCGGTGGGCAGAGATGGAAAGCCCAGGGGGGCTGTGGTGCTGCCAGGATGGCTCAGGGGAGGCCTCCCACCTCCCGCTGGGGACTGTCCCCATGCCAGTGCCTCATTCACCTTTAATTACTGCACAGGCAGTTCTCAGGGCCTTGAGGGAGCATAGCTGCAGGGACTCAGGCTGGGAGAAGCTGACCTCAAGCCTCCCTGGGCCTCTGTTTTCTCAGGGGTGAAGCTGACGGGCGTGTACTGCACCCACCGCCAACCCTGGGGTCCCACCAGGGTCTGGGCGCCCTTGTCCGCCCCTATTGTGGACGCTGGCGGGAGCTTATTCACTCCATGGCTAAAGTCTCGCCCACTCCACCCACGAGCGCTTGTTCCAGCCCCCCACCTCTGAAGCACCACCCCCTTTCTCAGAGGCCCACGTGGTCAGCTCATGGGCAAGCTGTGCCGGCTCGGGCAGTCCCGGCTCCGGTGGTGCCCTCGCCCTGCCAGGCTGCTGCTCAGGCCTCCTTGCCCTGCAGATAGGTTGGGCTGGCCTTTTTATCGCACCCTGAGTCTTTTTTTTTTTTTTTTGAGACAGAGTCTCACTTTTGTTGCCCTGCCTAGAGTGAGTGCTGTGGCGTCAGCCTAGCTCACAGCAACCTCAAACTCCTGGGCTCAAGCGATCCTCCTGCCTCAGCCTCCCAAGTAGCTGGGACTACAGGCATGCGCCACCATGCCCGGCTAATTTTTTTGTATATATATTTTTAGTTGGTCAATTTCTTTCTATTTTTAGTAGAGACGGGGTCTCGCTCAGGCTGGTTTTGAACTCCCAACCTCGAGCAATCCGCCTGCCTCGGCCTCCCAGAGTGTTAGGATTACAGGCGTGAGCCACCGCGCCCGGCCTGCACCCTGAGTCTTTACAGGGGCCTCATGGTGGTTCATTGAATGTCAGGACAACAGAGCCTGTAGGAGCTGGGGCTCCTCGGCCACAGCTGTGTGGCCTGGGCCAGCGACCTCCCCTCTCTGTGCCTTGATTTGTTGCTGTACAGGGTGTGTTTTCGGGTAGCACACAGAGCTGTGTCTGGCCAGGAGAATGTGCCTAGCACAGTGCCCGGCTCCGATGGGGGGTCTGGTCTGTTGTGTTCACATGCGGCCCTGGGCACCCAGGGGAGCTAGAGGTAGGTGCTCAAAACGCGCAGGACGACTGCACGTGTGTGAGCGCCGAGGGGCAGGGCTGCTACCTTCTGGGGGCCCGTGTCACCTGGACCTCGCAGGTGCTCAGTGGATGAGGACATGAGAGAGCGCCTGCCCGTCCCATGCAGGGATTTGAGTAGAGCGTCAGCCATTCTGTCTCTGTTGGAAAGGGGCGCTCCCTGGGTGCACCAGGGTTGAGAGCCTGGGCGGCAGCAGGGTGGTTTTGGGAGTTGACTTGGGGCCCTGACAGTCTGTCCAACTGAGGCCACTGCTGGCTGAGAGGCCTCGGGCCTCTCTTTCCTCATCTGCCTAATGAGGACAACACTCGTACCTACCCAGAGGGCTGTGGTTTGTAAACCATTTAGAGCAGGTCCTGGGACCTGTGAAGTGGGGTGTCCAAGTGTCGCCTGAGTGAACCACATGGCACATCTGCGCGTGTTCTCTGTGTTCCGTAAGACAGCGTGGGACGCTGGTAGGGGTTCCTGAAAGCAGGTTTACGCCACCCCACGGTGGGGTGGGCCCCCCATGGTGCCTGCGTGGTGGCGAGCCCCTCGTCACTGGGGGGCTCAAGGAGCTCGGATCAGGCAGGTTGTGCTGAGGCGGTGTAGACACGCCCACTGTTTGCAAATGCAGGTCTGAAGATCCCAGCGGACGTGAGGTGGGGAAGCAGAGACGGGACGTGGAATGAGATTCCCTTAGCGCTGAGTGTGCTCAGCCGGGGGACTTGCCTGGCTTCCTCCTCTGGAGGTCAGGTTGTCGGTGCAGACTCTGCGAGCTCGCACCAGGGGCGGGGCAGACGGCGGAGCACGCGCTTGCTGAGCGCTGTCGGAGCTCCCGGCGCGCAGCTCTGAGAAGAGGCAGGATCGAAGAGCCGGCCGGGCCGGGGCTGCACGCCGAGTCCAGGCGCAGGGCAGGCCCTGCCCACTCTGCTCTCCGTGCTGGCTGGAGGCGGCCAGGCCAGAGCAGGAAGGGGCAGCTGGGCTGTCTGCGCCACAGTGGGGAGGGGACAAGAGCCTGACTATAAGACCAGCTCGGGGATGGGGACTTGGGGAGGGGACATTTCTCCCTGGCTTCTCAGGGCGGCGTGAGGGTTGAGTGTGGTCCCTGGAGCAGCTCTGCCCCAAGGGAGATGAAAACGAGTGTCCACACAAATACACGTGTGACCCCGGGGCTAGGCAAGGTCAGTCACAAGAGGCTGAAGGTGGAGAAGCCCACGCATCCTGCAGTGATGGATGGAAGGAATGTGGAATATTGCTCAGTCACGAAGAGGAATGTGCTACAACGGTGAGCCTTGAAAACATCACGCTAAGTGGAGAAGCCAGACACAAAGGGACAGATCGTCCTTTCGTGTGGACTGTACAGATAGGCAGACCCACAGAGGCGCAGCAGCTGTGCGGCCGGGAGGGCATCGGGGCAGTTCTACATTTGCTTGTGGTGACAGTCGGTTGCGAAAGTGTGAATATATTAAAACTCATTTTTTAAAAATACAGAACTGTAGCTTGCCAATAAAAATCATTTCATCATACACTTCAAATGGAGGAATTGTGTGGTAGGAGAATTATATCTCAGTAAAGCTGTTTTAACAAAAAAATGTGGGCCCTGGGCCGTGCGCCCTGGCTGGCTGTGGTGGGCTGTGCTCCGGGTGGGTTTCTTCGCGGCTCTGGCCGGTCTTCCCCTGAGAAGCCTGGGGGGGTGGCAGCTCCTGCCTCCTGTGGGTCCAGGGGATCAGGGAGCCGCCCCCCAAACCCCTGGTACAGGAGGTGGGATTTTCTCTCTCTTTTGGAATTTTTTGTAAGACTGGTCAAGTGAGGCAGTTGGAGTGGAGAAAGAACAAAGACAGCATAGCTAGTTGTGATCAATTAGTTGTCAACAGCTGGAAATTTTTTTAAATTGCCTTTATTTGGCTGTAGAAGTTGGCAGCCCTGTGTCAGCCCCACAGAGTTTCACTGAGACGACCCTGGTTTGTGAAATCCCAGCGTTTGGAAGCCAGGGGAGGGGACATTTGCCCTGGCTCCACCTGGTGGCCCTGTGGTTCCTTGATCTCGTGGGATGACCTGAGTTCCCTTGGCCCCAACATGCCAGGTTGTCTGGGTGCCATCTGAGCGTAGGTGCCCCGTGAAGTCCACTGGCTTTCTTTTCCCAGGGCCTGGTGCGTCTGGCCTTGGACTTGCCCCACAGTATTTTAAAAGAGAAATTAGAGCGTGAACTCCTTAGACAACACATGTGCTCGCCAAAGGCTCTGCTGCCTGTGTTAGCCAAGCACACGCGTGGGCACGGGTTGTGCTGTCCCGTTATGTGGAAAGGCCTTACAAGGGGCCTGGCACGTGGAGCCTCCATGCGTGTTAGGGCTCTGCTGTTTTCTGCCGAGGAGTCAATTATCTCCCGGGGTATGGGGGCTTCACTACAGTCCAGGGCCCCCTCTGTGGCAGGAGCTTCATGTTCACACCGTCTTGCTTACACTGGATGGCACGGTGGTTGTCCTCCGTCTTGCTGACAGGAGACTGAGGCAGGGAGGTGGAGTTGCTCACCTGGTCCCGTTGGTGGGTGGTGGGGCTGGGGCAACAGCAGTGGTGGCTGCAGGTCGCAGAGGGCCCTTGAGCTCTTCTCCGACCTGCCTTCTCCTGGGGAGTGGCCAGGCCAGCTTCAGGCCGCTTGCCCACGGTCCTTCGGGTGTGCGCTGCATGCCATGCGTGCCCCCATAGCACCTGCTGTCTGGGGCTTTTCCCTGTCTGGCGCTCTGTCAACTCTGTTCTTCTGTCTTGTCCCCTCTAACAGGGACCCAGACATGGAGCTTCGGGAAGAGGCCTGGTCTCCAGGGCCACTGGACTCTGAGGACCAGCAGATGGCCAGTCACGAGAACCCAGGTGAGGTGGCCATGGGAAGTCTCAGCTGAGCCCGCCACCCTGCCTTCCCTTCTCCCTTCCTGGGCCCCTGGGACTGCCAGAATCCCCCACCCCTACGCTAACCCTCTCCACCCTCCCACCCCTTGCGCTCCTAGCTCTAGAGGGAGGGGCAGGTGTTCTGGCTCTTTATAGCTGGACCATCCTGGGGACCTCTGGGGCCACCTTCTCTGTCTGATTTCCTCTGTCCTTAAGACTCCAGCCAGACAGCCCCCCTTCTCCCCATGGCCCTGCCCCAAGTCCTGGACGCTGTGCTCCAATTCCAGGCGGCCCCTTGACTCTCCCTGGCAGGAAACTCCTTAGACCTGGCGGCGTGTGAGTGGAGGGGCGGGCGTGGCCCGGATCTAGGGAGCCCCAGTGCTGAGTCCTGACATTTTGGTAAAAGCTAGGTGTTTGGGTTTTTGTGTGAAATCTTTTACTTTTTAAACACTGGCAACGAGATTTGTTTGTTTAATAAAGCATGTATTGGGTTGAATAAAACTCATTTGTGGGCCGGGGGGGGGCTTGTTTGCCTAAACCCCACCCCACCGACACCCTCACCCCATCTCCTCTATTGAGGCCGAGTCCCTGTTTCCAGGGGCTCACCCGGCAGGGCCGTCTTCGGACGCAGGAAGCAAGGTGTAGACTTGTGTGTTCGTGCCGCGTCTGTGTGTCCCGTGCTGGCAGCACCCTGGCCCGGCCCAGCACGCCTTTTCTGCTGAGGGCCAGAGAGGAGACGGTAACACTTCCTGCCTTGCGGGCCACGTACCCTCACAGCTCAGATGGATGCCCCCGAGTGCTGGGGGACTTGGTTTCCAAAGACGGCAGCAGAGTCTGCCAGCCGTGCCAGCGTGTCACAGTCCCAGGGGAAGGTCACGAGGACCTCGGGGAGGTCGGGATCAATTTTATAAAGCTCCCTGGCCCCTTTGCCACTTATCCCTGAGAGCCACAGAAAGGATATGAACGAAAGCCCCATAGGCAGAGGAGAGGGTGAGATTGGGGGTGAGTGCTCTGCCGAGGCGAGCACTGCCTGTGCGCCCGCCCTCCCTGCCTGCTCCCTCCTCTCCCCTGTAGTGTGTCCCTGGCCTTTAACCTTTTTAAAAATTAATTTTAGAGTATTTTTCACTGTGGAAATTTAAAATGTATTTAGGTAACGAGTCCCTCTTTCCCTATCAGCAGTTAGCAACACTTACTTTGGCAGGCTAATTTCTGCCTTTTTTAAAATCCTGGATTGTTTAAAGAAAATTCCAACCATCATATTATTTCACCCATAACTGCTCTGACATGCAAGGACTCCTTTTTTTAAAAAAACAAAACTACACAATGTTGATCTCACCTAATGAAATGTTATTCCTTAACATTGTCTGGTTCCTAATCCTTGTTAAAATATTCCCAGTTGTCTCCAAAATGAATGTTTGAGTAAGTTAATTTTTAATTGCAATCATCCATAACATTATTCCCTTTATAAAAGGGAGGCATCAGGTTCCCTTTGTCCAGCCCGCCGCCCTGCCAGTTCTCCCTGCTCGGACACCTAGAACCTGGGGAGTGTCCTCCTGGCAGGGCAGCCCCTCCTTGCTATGTAGGGTGTGCTGGGGGGGTCCCTGTGGCCCACGTGGGGTCGGCTCCAGTCCTGAGAACCCCGTCGGGACGTGCTGGGTAGGGTGGGGGCAGGGGGCTTGGCTCAGCCCCGCAGTCCGGTTTCCTCCGGTCTGTCCCTGAGGGATGGGGGCCCAAGGACGGCACGTGGAGGGCTCCCATCCCAGCACGGCCCCCAGCGCCGTCAGCGGTATGAAGTCCGCGCACAGGGAGCGGCTGGCGACTTCCCCATCTGCGTGTGGAGAGCAGCCGGCCGGGCAAGGTTGCGGAGGCGAGAGCGGGCCGGCGCGAGCAGTCCTGCTCCGGCCAGGTGGACCCAGGGGCCCCAGACCCTGGGAGCAGAGAGGGCGGCCAGGGAGGCACCGCAGGGTGGGGCGGGCGGCCCCGGCCAGTGCCCCAGTCAGGAGGTGCTGGTCCGAGCGCCAAGGAGAGGGGCCACCTGGCTGAGCTGTGCACTGGGCACAGAGGCCTACGCATAGACGCCTTTCGCACCGGCGTGAGCTCACCCCAGAGTCTCCCTTGACTCTTGACTTCACTGTGCATCCGCTCCCTGCTCCCCAGACGTGGGCAGAGTGGGGCCACGTCTCCCTGCCGCGGCGCTGGCACCTCACGCCGGGATCTGCACCGACCTCCCAATCAATGGTCTCTGCGTCCACCTCTGTCCCCCACCTGAGCCTCTGGGCATGGAGGAGAGATCCAGGCGCTGGGCTCGGAGTCATTGAGGGTGTCTGGGCTCACTGGAGCAAAGCCAGGTCCCGACTGTGCCTGGCCCTGCGCCCGGCCTCTCACCTGGTCTTGGCCTCCCCAGCCCGCGGCCTTGCCTTGGCGTTCTTCCCCAGATAGTGTGTGTGACTTGCTCCTCCTCTTCCCTACATCCTCTGCTCAGTGTCCCTGGGTCACCACCTCTGTGTGTCGCAGTTGGAGATTACTATGCCTGTCCCTAGCCTCCTTAGAGCTTGCTTCCCCCGGAGCGCAGGCCGCTCTGCAGGCTGTCTAACCAGAGGGTCCCATCAGGGCCAGGGAGGGCTTTGCTGAGGAAGAGCTTTGGGCTGCAGCTGGAGGTGGCAGTGTGGCCGAGCGCCTGGGAGGCCAGTGGGCAGTGGTGAACAGGGAACCCAGACCCAGCGGCTTAAGCCAGAAGGACATTTGATGGTCTTGGGCAGCAGCCTGTACGTGGGGTGGATCCAGAGTGGTTAATTCAACCTCTCCATGAGCCACTAGGCTCAGCCTACCGTCTCTGTGACGTCCTGGCCACAGTTCTGAGAGTGCACCTCACCCGCTGATGTCCTGTCCTTCCAGGAAACTGCCTGGCCATGTCCCGCTGTGTCACACCTCAGGGGCTGCCTTGTCCTCAGGTGGCGTCATCTTGCGGCAGTGGCAGTGGGTTGCCTGTCTCGGGGCATGTCGTTTTCGGTGAGGGAGCAGTGTGGTTTTTTTAAGGCTGCAGCTCAGGTGTCGCCACGACTGGCCCAGAGCCCATGCTGGGGGTTTCTGGTGAGGAAGGAAGGAGGAGGACTGGCTGGCGCCCGGTGGTGTCTCCTGCTCAGAGAAGGCATACCAGGGGCTTCCTGTGGCCATGGTGGGGAGGGGTGGCCTGGACCCCTGCATGTTTTCCTTCCCTAGAGGGTGGCCAGGCCACTTCCCCCTGGGCCATGGTGTTGCCTCAGTGTCCCTGGAGACCCTGGGTCAGGTGGGGGGGGGGTTGGGATGCTGACAAGGGGATGCCTTTGCTGGGCTCAGCAGGCCAGGCTTCAGCTGAAGAGGTTGCCTGAACAAGTTTCCATGCCCCTTCTGCCCCCAAACTGCCACAAAATTCCCAAAGCTTGAAACTCCCCACCCCAGCACTTAACTGCTACAAGGTGTGGCCACTGCTGATGACAGGAAGGCACTGAGAGACCTGACATAGTGGGCCACTGTCACCCAGGGCAAGTAGCTTTGCCACCTGGGGACTTGGCTTCCTCTGTTTACTAAACTGGCTCTTGGCACTTTGCCTCAGTGTCCTCAGACTTCAGCGTTGAGGCCCAGAGCAGTTTGCACAGGCACCTCCTGTGCCTGCACACCCGGACTCAGCCATGTGTATTTATCCCTGTCGACTGAAATAAAGGCTTCATAGAACAATCTTAATGTACTACTCTGTTTCCCCAAATATAAGACCTACCCATAAAATAAGCCCTAGCAGGATCTAAGCATTTGCGCAATAGAAGCCCCACCCTGAAAATAAGCCCTAGTGACGGGCGTGGCCACGCAGCACATCTGCACAGCCCATGCCTTGCGTGTCGTCGCGGAGTGGGAAAGAACATGAGCAGCCCTTCTCATCTGCCCCATGACAGCTCTATTGCTCGACATGAGAGACTGGGGCCGATGGTTCTAAAGGAAACAGAGTCGCAAGAAATTCAGGATGGAATTCAGGGGTTGGAGAGTGATGATGATGCTCCAGAAGAAGACAACTTAACTATATTCGAATAAATGTAGATTGTCGTACCGTACTTAAAAAAAATAGCACATCCCCTGAAAACAAGTCCTAGGGTGTCTTCTTGAGGAAAAATGAATATAAGACCCTGTTTTACTTTTGGGGGAAACACAGCAGCAGCATGTGCTGACGTTGCATTTCCTCCTCGTCCTGCCCTCTAGTCCACTTTTAAAAAAAAAACACTGACCACCATCCATGAAGTTGATTTGACCACCCACCAACGAGCTGCGGCCCACAGGTGGGAACGCGCGTGCCGGGCGGGGGATTCAGGTGCCAGGCACAGTGCTTCTCAGGTGGGTGCTCAGTGAATATGAGATTTAAAAGAACTAAGAAGTCAGTTGTCTTTCCATTTAGCTTGATTTCCCAGAACGCTTGTGAAACCTTACAAATTTTAGAATTTTTTTCTTTATTTGAATATTTATTTAAAAAATTTTTTTAAACATCTGGTAATCAATTTATTAGAGCAGTTGACTCAAGCATCTGCAGTGGCTGGACCTCAGCCTGCACTCGGCTCAGTGCTAGGGGAGGCGATCCGCTTAACAGTCCCAGAAGGATGGTGCGAATTCTCAGCAGGAGTGATCCTGTGTCCTTGGAACCTCCACCATGAGGATTGTTTCTTGCAGTGATTCTCAAAGTTTTGTTGGGCATTCGAGCTGGTCCTTTTACTTTGAGATCCTTTTTCCTCTGTGTCTCTGAGTGGGCACACCTTCTCCAGCGATTTTGCAGGACAGCTGTAATTCTAACTCGGTGAATCGCCACTGCGGGCTCCATGAGTGATGATCTGTTGTCTTCAAAAGCCATAGCTGCAGCGGCGAGCCAGGAACAGGAGGGGGCGGACCAGAGCTCCGTGGCACTAGCCACATCATCTTCTTCAAAAAGCTGTATTTACATATTTCTGGGAAGTGTGTTCAGATCCTCT